TGTCGGCCCAAGAATTGAACCCTGTGGCACCCCCATAGAGACTGCCATAGGTCCAGACAACAGGCCCTCCGATTTGACACACTGAACTCCATCTGAGAAGTAGTTGGTGAACCAGGCGAGGCAGTCATTTGAGAAACCAAGGCTATTTAGTCTGCCAATAAGAATGCGGTGGTTGACAGAGTCGAAAGCCTTGGCCAGGTCGATGAAGACGGCTGCACAGTACTGTCTATTATCAATCGTGGTTATAATATCGTTTAGGACCTTGAGCGTGGCTGAAGTGCACCCGTGACCAGCTCGGAAACCGGATTGCATAGCGGAGAAGGTACGGTGGTATTCGAAATGGTCGATGATCTGTTTGTTAACTTGGCTTTCGAATACTTTCGAAAGGCAGGGCAGGATGGATATAGGTCTGTAGCAGTTTGGATCTAGAGTGTCACCCCCTTTGAAGAGGGGGATGACCGCGGCAGCTTTCCAATCTCTGGGGATCTCAGACGTTATGAAAGAGAGGTTGAACAGGCTAGTAATAGGGGTTGCGACAATTTCGGCGGCTAGTTTTAGAAAGAAAGGGTCCAGATTGTCTAGCCCAGCTGATTTGTAGGGGTCCAGATTTTGCAGCGCTTTCAAAACATCAGCTGTCTGAATTTGTGTGAAGGAGAAGCGGGGGGGGGCATGGGCAAGTTGCAGCAGAGGGTGCAGAGTTGGTGGCCGGGTTAGTGGTAGCCAGATGGAAAGCATGGCCAGCTGTAGCAAAATGCTTGTTGAAATTCTCGATTATTGTAGATTTATCGGTGGTGATAGTGTTTCCTAGCCTCAGTGCAGTGGGCAGCTGGGAGGAAGTGCTCTTATTCTCCATGGACTTTACAGTGTCCCAAAACTTTTTGGAGTTAGTGCTACAGGATGCAAATTTCTGTTTGAAAAAGTTAGCCTTTGCTTTCCTGACTGCTTGTGTATATTGGTTCCTAACTTCCCTGAAAAGTTGCATATCGCGGGGGCTATTTGATGCTAATGCTGTACGCCACAGGATGTTTTTGTGCTGGTCAAGGGCAGTCAAGTCTGAGGAGAACCAGGGGCTATATCGGTTCTTAGTTCTGTATTTTTTGAATGGGGCATGTTTATTTAAGATTGAGAGGAAATTACTTTTAAGGAACAACCAGGCATCCTCTACTGACGGAATGAGATCTATATCCATCCAGGATACCTGGGCCAGGTCAATTAGGAAGGCCTCCTTGCTAAAGTGTTTTAGGGAGCGTTTGACAGTGATGAGGGGTGGTCGTTTGACCGCAGACCCGTTACGGACGCAGGCAATAAGGCAGTGATCGCTGAGATCCTGGTTGAAGACAGCTGAGGTGTATTTAGAGGGTATGTTAGTCAGGATGATATCTATGAGGGTACCCATGTTTAAGGATTTAGGGTTGTACCTGGTAGGTTCGTTGATGATTTGCGTGAGGTTGAGGGCATCTAGCTTGGATTGTAGGATGGCTGGGGTATTAAGCATATCCCAATTTAGGTCACCAAGCAGTACAAACTCAGAGGATAAATGGGGGGCAATCAATTCACATATGGTGTCCAGGGCACAGCTGGGGGCTGAGGGGGGTCTGTAGCAAGCGGCAACAGTGAGAGACTTATTTCTGGAAAGGTGGATTTTTAGAAGTAGAAGCTCAAACTGTTTGGGCACAGACCTGGATAGTATGAGAGCTCTGCAGGCTATCTCTACAGTAGATTGCAACTCCACCCCCTTTGGCAGTTCTATCTAGACGGAAAATGTTATAGTTGGGGATGGAAATTTCAGAATTTTTGGTGGCCTTCCTGAGCCAGGATTCAGACACTGCTAGAACATCAGGGTTGGCAGAGTGTGCTAACGCAGTGAATAACTCAAACTTAGGAAGTAGACTTCTGATATTTATGTGCAAGAAACCAAGACTTTTGCGATTACAGAAGTCATCAAATGATAGCTCCTGGGGAGTAGGAGTGATACTGGGGGCTACAGGGCCTGGGTTAGCCTCTACATCACCAGAGGAACAGAGGAGGACTAGAATAAGGATACGGCTAAAGGCTTTAAGAACTGGTCTTCTAGTGCGTTGGGTACATAGAATAAAGGGGGCAGATTTCCGGGTGTTATAGAAAAGATTCAGGGCATTATGTACAGACAAGGATATGGAAGGATATGAGTAAAGTGGAGGTAAACCTAAGCGTTGGGTAACAATGAAAGAGATAGTATCTCTAGAGGCATCGATTGAGTCGGTCTCTGAGTGTATGGGCGGAGGGTCAAAGGAGCTAACTAAGGCAGGTTTAGCTAGGCTGGGGGGTCTACAGTGATATAGTACAATTAGAAATAACCGAAACAACAATAAACTAACCATGTTTGGGCTGAGGCTAAACATAAACAGGATGTAGTACCGTAAAAAGGAACAGTCCAGCAGATATCAGCTGTATAGCTGAGTTATCATAAGGTCCGGTGGTGAAGCGCTAGTGAGTAAGAGGCCATAGTGAGTAAGACATAACCTGAAAGGCTGCTCAGCAAGGAAGAACCCACTGCTCCAAAACCGCCATAAAAAAGCCAGACTACGGTTGGCAACTGCACATGGGGACAAAGATCGTACTTTTTGGAGAAATGTTCGCTGGTCTGATGAACCAAAAATATAACTGTTTACCCATAATGACCATTGTTATGTTTGGAGGAAAAAGGGGGTCGCTTGCAAGCCGAAGAACACCATCCCAACCGTGAAGCACGAGTGTGGTGACCTAGGCAGAGTTGCAAAGAAAAAGTCCAGTGTCTGTGTTCTTTTGCCCATCTTAATCTTTTTATTGGCCAGTCTGAGATATGGCTTTTTCTTTGCAACTCTGCCTAGAAGGTCAGCCTCTTCACTGTTGAGACTGTTTTTTGGCGGGTACTATTTAACGAAGCTGCCAGTTGAGGACTTGTGAGGCGGTATATATATATATATATATATATATATATATAAACACACACACAAAACATTATGAACACCTGCTCTTTCCATGACAGACTGACCAGGTAAATCCAGGTGAAAGCTATGATCCCTTATTGAGGTCACTTGTTAAATCCACTTCAAATCAGTGTAGATGAAGGGGAGGAGACAGGTTAAAGGATTTTTAAGGCTTGAGACAATTGAGACTTGGATTGTGTATGTGTGCCATTCAGAGGGTGAATGGGAAAGAAAAAAGTTAAGTGCTTTTGAATGGGGTATGGTAGGTGCCAGGCGCACCAGTTTGGGGTCAAGAACTGCAACGCTGCTGGGTTTTTCAGGCTCAGCTTCCCGTGTGTAACAAGAATGTTCCACCCACCCAAAAGGACATCTAGCCAACTTGACAACTGTGGGAAGCATTGGAGTCAACATGGGCCAGTATCCCTGTGTAACGCTTTCAACCATTTGTATAGTCCATGCCCTGACGAATTGAGGCTGTTCTGAGGGCAAAAGGGGGCGCAACTCAATATTAGGAAGATGTTCCTAATGTTTTGTACCCTCAGTGTATATGCTAAGAGGCGGTTCAGGTTCTCTCCAGATTCCGAGTAAGCTTGCTTCAGTCGAAATAGAGCATATTCTGTTGTGGTAAAACATATTCAGCTCATACTTGCCTCGAATAATCTTACTTAGTGTGGTCCTATCTCTACAATGAGCAAAGCATAGTTACAATGTCTTAAAATCTTTCTCCAAGTCTAACTTCTTCCACAAAAAAAAATATATATATATATTACAAAAATAGTTATACCCCTCAGATAGGCTTTTAGAGTGTCCCAACATATTGCCAGTGAGGTGTCCTCCTGTTTGTTTGTACACTCATATAAACACTGAACAAAAATATAAACGCAACATGTAAAGTGTTGATCCCATGTTTCACGCACTGAAATAAAAGATCCCAGAAATGTTCCATACACACAAAAAGTTTTTTCCCCGCTCTAATTTTGAGCATTTCTCCTTTGCCAAGATAATCCATACATCTGACAGGTGTGGCATATCAAGAAGCTGATTAAACTATATGACCATTACACAGGTGCACCTTGTGCTGGAGACAATAAAAGGCCACTAAAATGTGAAGTTGTGTCACAACACAATGCCACAGATTTCTCAAGTTGAGGGAGCGTGCAATTGGCATGCTGACTGCAGGAATGTCCACCAGAGCTGTTGCCAGATAATTTAATGTTAAATTCTCTACCATAAGCCACCTCCAATGTCGTTTTAGAGAATTTGGCAGTACGTCCAACTGGCCACACAACCGCAGAACACGTGTAACCACGCCAAATCCGGCTTCTTCACCTGCGGGATCGTCTGAGATCAGCCACCCGGACAGCTGATGAAACTGAGGCGTATTTCTGTCTGTAATAACTAATTCTGGTTGGCTGGGCCTGTCTCCCCAGTGGGTGGGCCTATGCCCTCCCAGGCCCACCCATGGCTGCACCCCTGCCCAGTCATGCGAAATCTATAGATTAGGGCTGAATGAATTTATTTCTAATAATAATAATATGCCATTTAGCAGACGCTTTTATCCAAAGCGACTTACAGTCATGCGTGCATACATTTTTGTGTATGGGTGGTCCCGGGGATCGAACCCACTACCTTGGCATTACAAGCGCCGTGCTCTACCAGCTGAGCTACAGAGGACCAATTTAATATATATATTTAATATTTAAATTGACCGATTTCCTTATATGAACTGTAACTCAGTCAAATCGTTGAAATTATTTAATGTTGCGTTTATATATTTGCTAGATATAGATATCTATAAAAAATATATATAAAAAAATAAACACCTTTTGAAAAATACAGACCCACCTTTACGTTTGATGGGCCCCAGGATGCTGGGCCTGATGCAGTTAATGGGGCTCTGGCTCCGCCGGCTAGAGACAAGAGAAGACAGACAATAAAGAAAAATGTATAGCAGTTACTAAATAATCATACTGATCATCTGTTGTAGGCAAATGTGGTGTATGACTATGAATGGGAGTTGTCAGTGTTCAGAGCTACCCCTAGTCAGAGCACTCACCTGAAGCGTCGCGTTGGGCTAGGTATAGGGCTGGGAGACAGGCCGTTGCTGCTCACCAGAATTTGCAATGAAGGGGAGAAGCACTGCTGCTCATTGGAGAGGAAGGGAATATATAATTATGAGCCAGGACTCTCTGCCAGAGATACATTTATGGTCCTACCCGCTAGGCATCCGTACAAATTGCAGTGGATGCACAATGCACATACCTTCTTCCCTATCCCTCTTGTAGGGGATGGGGCTGGGGATACAGGCACAAAGTCGATGCGCTTTGGGGACGACGATGCAGATTTCTCAAAGTCATTGTCACTCTGTGGGGATTAGCACATGCAAAACTGTAATCAGCATTAACCTAATTGTATTGTACCACCATTCATTCTACTATAAGGTGGTGGTGAGCATACAAATCCTACCAGTGAGGTGGTTGTTGGAGTAATATACTACCGAATGATTGTTATTTTATTTGAATATAGTTCATTTATTTAGGCAAGACAAAATAAGATACATACAGACATATACAGCCTAACATAAACCAGACTTTCCTATCTCTATTCCCACCCACCCTGTCCCCTCCAGAGGTAGGCAGGCCTATAGCCTAAAAACAGGCAATAGGCCTACTGAATGATGTAGGTGCATAGCAACAAATAAAATCACGTACATTGACCAATGTATACACAATTAAGGGAGACAATTTGATTAATCAGTTCATAATCTGGTATATTTTTGATTACACATTGATGGGAGAATATAATTAATGATATAGAAATATTGGGGTATTTAAGAACACCTGCTGACCACTGCAGGAATGGACCCCATACCAGGTCATAGTGCCCTTAAGGGATACTTTAGGATTTTGGCAATCCTTTATCTACTTCCCAAGAGTCAGATGAACTTGTGGATACCATTTTTATGTCTGTGTCCCGTATGAAGGAAGTTAAGAGGTAGTTTCACCAGCCAATGCCAACTACCGTTAATGCAATGACTGGGTATCTGTGTCTATGGGTATCTGTTAGCACTGTTGCGTTTATATTTTTGTACAGTAGAAATACTTTATCAGAGCCTCCCGGGACGAGGAAATTGTTGGATGCTCCTGTAATCTAGGGGTTTTCAAACGTTCCTTGCCCAGGGACCCCCGCATAGGAAAACCGGCGACCCCCATCATATGTTAGAAAAAAATTAAATAGAAGTGATCAACATGTTTTAATGAATAGATTTGGTAGACCGTTTCATTGTTTTGACCTCCCCACAGTTCATTGGAAAGAGGAAGTGTGAATTCTAACAGTCTGTTAGCTAAAAAGGTATCTTGGTGACGTAGAGAAAATGTTGCTGTTGTAAAGCAAATGTTCAGCAATTCTACAGTTTGGCTTGGCTAATGTGGTGCTCCTCTGCTCAAACATAACAAAAATCTAATGGGCATGTGCCCCGTTTTATTAAAATGTTTGATTCTCTGACTGTAGCTTTTATTTATTTGATTATTAGTTCTCAAAGATGGTATTATTTAAAAATGTATATAGTTCAATATCTTTCTGCATGACTTCCATCTGGTTTTGGTCATTTAAGTTGACACTAACTGTTTTTCAATCCCGAAAATTACCACTTAGATGGCTCACCTAAGAATTTTCTATACAGAAAACAACCCTGTAATTAGCTGCAATTACTAATTTCCTCCATATTAAAGGGATAGATTGAGATTTTGGCAATGAAGCCATTTATGCTAAGTGTTCCTGTAAAAATGTACATTACATTTTAGTCATTTAGCAGATGCTCTTATCCAGAGTGACTTACAGTTAGTGAGTGCATACATATTTTTTTTTCATACGGGCCCCCCGTCGGAATCGAACCCACAACCCTGGCGTTGCAAGCGCCATGCTCTACCAACTGAGCTAAACTTCAAGTCATTGTGCTAATGCTAGTTAGCATTGGCTTGTGAAACTACCTCCAACTTCCTTCATCCGGGACACAGAGACATAACAACGGTATCCACAATGGTATTCTGTATAAACCCCCCCGCTTAAATAGCGGACCCCCTGCAGTACTTTGGGGCCACAGCCTGCAGTTTGAAAATCCCTGGTATAAGGTTGTCTAAGGTGAAAGCTATGATCCTTTATTGATGTCACCTGTTAAATCCACTTCAATCAGTGTAGATGGAGGAGACAGGTTAAAGAAGGATTTTTAAGCCTTGAGACAATTAAGACATGGATTGTGTATGTGTGCCATTTAGAGGGTGAATGGGCAAGACAAAAGATTTAAGTGCCTTTGAACTGCAACGCTGTTGGGTTTTTCACGCTCATCAGTTTCCTGTGTGTAACAAGAATGGTCCACCACCCAAAGTACATCCAGCCAATTTGACAACTGTGGGAAGCATTAGAGTCAACATGGGCCAGCATCCCTGTGGAACGGTTTCAACACATTGTACAGTCCATGCCCCGACGAATTGAGGCTGTTCTGAGGGCAAAAGGGGGTGCAACTCAATATTAGGACGATGTTCCTAATGTTTTGTACACTCAGTGTATATAACTTACTCAGCTCATACTTGCCTCGAATAATCTTACTTAGTGTGGTCCCATCTCTACAGTGAGCAAAGCTTGGGTCCAATGTCTTAAGATCCTTCGCAAAGTAAAAAAATAAAATAATTATAATAATGATCAATTCTGGTATAAGTGCCATGACTGGCAACAGAAAAAAATAAAAAGTTCTCCACATATCCTTCAGCCCTAAGTCGTTGCACATTTGGCGCAGATTTGGAGCAAGGGCTGGTTCTGTCAAGGTCTTTGTCTGAAATCTGATTAAAGTCACCGCCCAGTATAATAGGGGCATCACCACATCCCAGTAGTGTTTGCATGAAAGAACTCAGGGGAGTCTGCATTTGGAGCATAAATATTGCACAATGTAAGGGACACACATTAACTGTCCCCTCACCACAATAGATCTGTCCCCCTGATTCTGTTCTTAAAACTGGTGGCCCTGCTAACTCTATGGCAGTTACTCTAGCATGTTCTTATTGGGCCACACTCCCTACAAAAGAGACACAATATGCAATGTGGAGGTAGACCATCATACAAAATACAAAAACTGAAAGTCTCTACCCCAAATAGCACCCCATTCTTTCTTTAGTGCACTACTTTAGTTTTGACCAGAGTCCATAAGGCTTTGGTCAAAAGCAGTGCACTTTGTAGGGAATAGGGTGCCACTTGGGATGATGGCTTAGTCATCTAACATACTAAAGCACTGCCCAATTACATGAATGCTGAAGTAGTGAGAGCCTCCAAAATAGTGGAGTGTGTAGGCCTAATATTTTTGGGAGAGGAAATAGTCAGATTCATTGTTACCATGGGAGCATCATAATTTCTCACCAGACTCAGACTCTCCTCCCAGGACTGACTCATCTGCATGGCTGCTTGAACCTCCCTGTGATGATAACACAGACATCTATGAACATGCTTTTTTCCTGAAAGGGTTGAGCCAATGATACTCAACCGCGGTTATTGACATAGTATACTATCACACGACGAGTGAGCAGTTAATAAATAAATGCCAATCCATGTGAGTCTCTTACCGTTCATGGGCTGTCTCTCTGTTCATCACATCCACACCCTCCTCCTGTAGTACCACAAACAAGAAGCATAGACATTCGGTTGGTGAGTGATATTACAGTATCTCGCCTATGGATCAAACAGGCTGACAGTCAAGTCTAGTCAAGAGTGAAAGAGTTGTAGGAGAGTACTACCAATAGGTCTGCTCTGGGAGACCATGAGCTCTGTGCACTATATCGGAAATAGGGTGCCATTTGGGAGGCAGCATATGGATCTAGCATGTTTGTCAGTTACCGACACTCCCTATGGATGAAGGCCTGAAATGCAAAGCAGCTAAAATAATAGCTTGGTCCCATGACGAGTGTGTCCACTGCAGTCGCACTTACCCGTTTGATCTGATGAAGCCTTGTGCTGGGGACGCGAATGGGTGATGAAGGGACCTGCATGTGTATTAAGGTGAGCAACCTCAATTAAATGAATCCCACCAGTCTATAAGATATTACTTAGTAAGAGTATCATGCATATTATTTTGATAATACTCCCAATTTCCATACCATATTAGGGCGGTTAACAACGGTGGTGCTGTTTCTCCTGCTGCGTAGAATCTCTCTCTGGAAAACCTGGGAATTGTCACTAGAAAAGGACAGAAAGATTAACACCACCACTTTGGTGTCTCCAATGGCACCCTAATCCCTATATACAATGACGGCCGTGATCGGGAGTCCCATAGGGCGGCGCACAATTGGCAAAGCGTCATCCGGGTTAGGGGAGGGTTTGGCAGTCATTGTAAATAAGAATTTGTTCTTAACTAGTTAAATAAAGGTTACATATAGTGCATTTATTTTTACCAGGTCCTAAAGTAGCACACTATGTAGGGAATAGGGTGCCATAGGGCTCTGGTCAAAAGTTGTGCACTATATAGGGAATAGGATGCCATTTGGAACACAGTCATAGACTACTATGCTCAGAATGTCAGCATTATACTACCAACAGCCTAATCTTGAGACTGGTGGCCTTGTTAACTCTGCTGCTTTTCTGTTGAATTACTGAATTGTCCACACTCCTCACATCAGAGAAGGTATTTGTAATTATTATAGAACCCCCATTAGCTGCTGCCAAGGTCCAGGAAAATGAAGGCACTACAATAAAAAAAAACGTTACATTTCACAACACATTAAGTAGTCATACATGCAACAGCCATGCAGCTTATAAATAGATCAACATATCAAGTCAGCAATACTGTGAGGAGCAGTGACCAAGTTGACATTTAAAGTGATACAAGTGAGCTGAAATACATTTTCTAAATACCTTAGGCCATTTATCATTGGGGCGCTGTTGGATCGTCTCAGGTGTCTGTCGCTCTGAACTAGTATTGATGGGATTACGAGGTCCAATTCCATCTTCTCTTGTTTGCTCATCCTGGTGTCCTTTCGTTTAGCTGGCTCGAGATGTCTTCAGATACGCCTGCAACGTTCCAGGCCACCAGAATGTGAAGCTACATGGTGATGCAAAGCAACGTTCTACGTAGGTAGCTACTCCAATGCTGATTGATGGGTCTGAAAAATATCATCGACATGTATGAAGTTAGTTTGCTACGTCCCCCAAGATAGCCACTGGTTGAGTTAACCAGCATTCACTGCAATACATTTCTTATTTGTTAAGGCTCGTGAAAGTTTCTATTGGCTCAATTTCCAGCAAATGACGCTCGCGAAGATTCTTCCGAGGTTCTCTTTGGCTAAACCGACGTAGTTTTTTTATGGGCTAAGAAATCACAGCTACACAGGAACAATGCCTAGTCGCTAGCTAGCTACTTGATAATGAAACTAGCAAGCGAGCTAACGTTAATGGTTTCGAGCAAGAAATTGATGCGTTGTCAACTGTTTAGCAAGACTGGTTAGCCAAATTAAACCATGTCGACAATTGTATAACGTCTTGTTAGTTTGTAGTATATCAACATATGATTAGTTAGTTAGTAACTATTACGTGAGTTAGCGCGAAGATGGGATATCAAGCCAGCTGGCTAACACACAAGCTAGCTAGCTAGCTAACGTTATATCAAATTGTTATTGATGAACGCGCTATGCTAGCTTGAAAGTCACATTACCATGTTCAGAGGATCATCAACCTACATAACTTGTATAGTTCTCCCTCAGCCATATATTTAGCATTTCCCTTCTTCACAATACGTTAACTCTGAGTAAAATGAAATCTTGTAGGTAACGGAACTCAATGATCAATTGTGTTTATTAATCTGCTACTGGAGCCGTCGAGAAATCTCCAACACCAAACTTCCCGCCCCTTTTGACGCATGCATGGTGACCGACAGCAGACTGATCCAATTAAATTGCCTTAATTTGCCGTGGCCGTTTGAAAGGCAGACAAGCGACCAATGGCTGCAGCGATTGTGAGCTATTTCCTGGGGACGTCATACAGTTGTACAGTCAAAATGTCAGTTAACATTTTACATTTACATTTAAGTCATTTAGCAGACGCTCTTATCCAGAGCGACTTACAAATTGGTGCATTCACCCTACAGCCAGTGGGTTAACCACTTTACAATATTATTATTTTTTTTTTTTGGGGGGGGGGGGGGGGGGTAGAAGGATTACTTCATCCTATCCCAGGTATTCCTTAAAGAGGTGGGGTTTCAAATGTCTCCGGAAGGTGGTGAGTGACTCCGCTGTCCTGGCGTCGTGAGGGAGCTTGTTCCACCATTGGGGTGCCAGAGCAGCGAACAGTTTTGACTGGGCTGAGCGGGAACTATGCTTCCGCAGAGGAAGGGGAGCCAGCAGGCCAGAGGTGGATGAACGCAATGCCCTCGTTTGGGTGTAGGGACTGATCAGAGCCTGAAGGTACGGAGGTGCCGTTCCCCTCACTGCTCCATAGGCAAGCACCATGGTCTTGTAACGGATGCGAGCTTCAACTGGAAGCCAGTGGAGTGTGCGGAGGAGGGGGGTGACGTGAGAGAACTTGGGAAGGTTGAACACCAGACGGGCTGCGGCATTCTGGATGAGTTGTAGGGGTTTAATGGCACAGGCAGGGAGCCCAGCCAACAGCGAGTTGCAGTAATCCAGACGGGAGATGACTGGATTAGGACCTGTGCCGCTTCCTGTGTAAGGCAGGGTCGTACTCTCCGAATGTTGTAGAGCATGAAACTGCAGGATCGGGTCACCGCCTTGATGTTAGCGGAGAACGACAGGGTGTTGTCCAGGGTCACGCCAAGGCTCTTCGCACTCTGGGAGGAGGACATAACGGAGTTGTCAACCGTGATGGCGAGATCATGGAACGGGCAGTCCTTCCCCGGGAGGAAGAGCAGCTCCGTCTTGCCAGGGTTCAGCTTGAGGTGGTGATCCGTCATCCATACTGATATGTCGGCCAGACATGCAGAGATGCGATGTTAACTGATGCTGCTGCTAGGGAAAGAGTTTGTGGGTTGTAGTCCGCCATAAAACCCGAAGAAGAAGAAGAAGAAGAAGAAGAAGAAGAAGAAGAAGAAGGCGGCGCAGGAACAGGGAAAAAAAAAAATATATATATATAAACTTTGGCCGGTAGTAAAAAAGGCTAGAGAAGAAGTGAAGATCGATTGCCAGGTCATCAAGTGAATGTCATGAGAGTACTGAATGTTTTGAAAACACTGTGCTCAGGTATATAGCTACATTGACAAGAAATTGATGTCGTCCTATTCTGTCTAAGTCAAATGAAAACATTAAGAGTTTGCTAAATTACACTTGAGAAATAAGTCAATTGTCATTAATGTGAATACGGGTTCATCATATTGATCACAACTACCTCGGTTTAGGGTAGTCCAGTTCTTTCTCTAAGCTTAGGTTTCCTTACTAGCTACAGTGCCTTGCAAAAGTACTCATCCCCCTTGGCGTTTTTCCTATTTTGTTGCATTACAACCTGTAATTTAAATTGATTTTTATTTGGATTTTATGTAATGGACATACACAAAATAGTCAATTTTATGAAGTGAAATGAAAAAAATGACTTATTTCAAAAAATTCGAACAAATAAATAACGGAAAAGTGGTGCGTGGGTATGTATTCACCCCCTTTGCTATGAAACCCCTAAATAAGATCTGGTGCAACCAATTACCTTCAGAAGTCACATAATTTGTTAAATAAAGTCCACCTGTGTGCAATCTAAGTGTCACATGATCTGTCACATGATCTCAGTATATATACACCTGTTCTGAAAGGCTCCAGAGTCTGCAACACCACTAAGCAAGCGGCACCATGAAGACCAAGGAGCTCTCCAAAAAGGTCAGGGACAAAGTTGTGGAGAAGTACAGATCAGGGTTGGGTTATAAAAAAATATCTGAAACTTTGAACATCAAACGGAGCACCATTAAATCCATTATTAAAAAATTGAAAGAATATGGCACCACAACAAACCTGCCAAGAGAAGGCCGCCCACCAAAACTCACAGACTAGGCAAGGAGGGCATTAATCAGAGAGGCAACAAAGAGACCAAAGATAACCCTGAAGGAGCTGCAAAGCTCCACAGCGGAGATTGGAGTATATGTACATAGGACCACTTTAAGCCGTACACTCCACAGAGCTGGTCTTTACGGAAGAGTGGCCAGAAAAAAGCCATTGCTTACAGAAAAAAATAAGCAAACACGTTTGGTGTTCGCCAAAAGCCATGTGGGAGACTCCCCAAACATATGGAAGAAGGTACTCTGGTTCAGAAGTGACTAAAATTGAGCTTTTTGGAAATCAAGGAAAACGCTATGCCTGGCGCAAACCCAACACCGCTCATCACCCTGAGAACGGCAGGGACTGGGAAACTGGTCAGAATTGAAGGAATGATGGATGGCGCTAAATCCATGGAAATTCTTGAGGGAAACCTGTTTCAGTCTTCCAGAGACACTCGAGTGGTTTAAGGGGAAACATTTAAATGTCTTGGAATGGCCAAAGCCCAGACCTCAATCCAATTGAGAATCTGTGGTATGACTTAAAGATTGCTGTACACCAGCGGAACCCATCCAACTTGAAGGAGCTGGAGCAGTTTTGCCTTGAAAAATCCTAGTGGCTAGATGTGCCAAGCTTATAGAGACATACCCCAAGAGACTTGCAGCTGTAATTGCTGCAAAAGGTGTCTCTACAAAGTATTGACTTTGGGGGGGTGAATAGTTATGCACACTCAAGTTATCAGTTTATTTGTCTTATTTCTTGTTTGTTTCACACACACACACACACACACACACACACACACACAAAATTCATTTTCAAAGTGGTAGGCATGTTGTGTAAATCAAATGATACAAACCCCCCCAAAATCCATTTTAATTCGAAGTTGTAAGGCAACAAAATAGGAAAAATGCCAAGGGGGGTGAATACTTTCGCAGCTCAACTGGTTAACAAGTTATTCATATCACTACACTGTATTTGTTTTCTTATTTTAATTTTATTTTTGTCAGGTTATGCAACGTTTTGAATTCAATTTACTAAATATTGTATCTCTAAATGCCAGGGGTTTACAAAACATAACTAAAAGAAAAGCACTTTTTTTTATTTTGTAAACACTATTGCAGATTTTATTGTACTCCAGGAGACTCACTCCTGTGCTTCAGATTCAAGTTTTTGGAAATCACAATGGGGAAATACTATTTATTATAGTCACTGGTCTAACCACTCAGCTGGTACTATGATATTGCTTCTTAAGTTTAAAGGTGATATTTCAGAGTCCTGTGTGTCCAAAGATGGGAGATGGGTTTTATTGAGCTCCAAACTAGATAATGCTTGTTTTATTATATGCAATGTGTATGGGTACAATTCTCACACCTCAAATAAGACTTTATTTTTTGATCTTGCTGATAAGCTTACTGAGCTGCAAAACAAGTATACAAATGCATGGCTTATAATAGCTGGATACTTTAATGAAACACCTGATAACTCATTAGATAGATTTCCACCTAGAGTAGCTCAAAGATCTCAGAATAATGACATCATCACCTAATTTTTCAGTAAACTGACAGTGATCGATACATGGCGTTTCTTTAAAACAAACTTAAATGAATACACCTGGTGTAATAGGTCAATGATGGTCATATCCAGAATTGATCTGTTTTTAATTTCTCCCCCACTTTTACAGTCATAAAGTCATAAACATGCTCCTTTGACTGATCATAAAATGATATTATTGAAGTTAGGATGTTCTGAAAATTCTAGTGGCATTGGAGGATACAGGAAACATAATAATTCACTCCTAAATGATCCAGTCTTTAACAAGAGCATAAATAACTTGATCATAGACTCATTTAATTCAAATGATTTAAAACCAAAGCATGGAAGTAACTGGGAAAATATTTCAATTCAAAGTAAGATCGCCAATACACGCAGTAAGGAACTAAAGAAGCAAAAATGTTTGAAAGAAGATGAGCTTATGAATGAATTAAATGATTTGAATACATCTTGAATATAACTAGATCAAATGTACATTGATTTAGCTAAAGGGGCCTTTTATTAGATCTAGAGCAAAATGGTTTAGAAGCTATTTTTTTGCTCTTGAAAAAAGGAACTATAAGAGAAAATCTCTTTCTTCCTTAAATTGTGACAATACCTTGTGTAAAGACCATAAGATCATCTCTAGCTTTGTGTATTCTTTCTATGAAAATTTGTATAAATTTAATTTGAATGGGATTGAATGTGAAAATGTTATAAAACATGTCCATGGTCATGTTCCAATTATTTCTGATGAGTTCAAGTCCATATGTGAAGATGAGTTTTCAATAGTAGAGATTGGAGATGCTCTTAAATCTATGAAGAAGGGCAAAGCACCTGGAACAGATGGTCTTTCTGTGGAATTGTATTTACACTTTTGGGAACAGTATTCAACATGTTCCAAGAATGCCTAGCTAAGGGTGAGATGATTACTACAGTGAGGAGAGAAAGTATTTGATCCCTTGCTGATTTTGTACGTTTGCCCACTGACAAAGAAATTATCAGTCTATAATTTTAATGGTAGGTTTATTTGAACAGTGAGAGACAGAATAACAACAAAAAAATCCAGAAAAACACATGTCAAAAATGTTATAAATTGATTTGCATTTTAATGAGGGAAATAAGTATTTGACCCCCTCTCAATCAGAAAGATTTCTGGCTCCCAGGTGTCTTTTATACAGGTAACGAGCTGAGATTAGGAGCACACTCTTAAAGGGAGTGCTCCTAATCTCAGTTTGTTACCTGTATAAAAGACACCTGTCCACAGAAGCAATCAAGACCAAAGAGCTCTCCAAGGATGTCAGGGACAAGATTGTAGACCTACACAAGGCTGGAATGGGCTACAA